CCCCACACTCCGGGTTTTCCCCCCCAAAAAACCCCCCGGAGCCTCTATGTAGAGTATTTTCCCAGTCCGGTTCAGGCATCCTCAGATCTGCTTCCCTTGGCCAAACCCACTGGCCCTGCTCAGCCCTCCTGTCTGTGAAATCCTCCTCTGTCAGGAGTATCCTCTGGCCCGTGGTGGTACTCGGGATCCAGCACAACCCCACGTGCCCACCGCAACATCCGAGTCTGAAAGGCATGTTCTGCAGCGCAACAACAACAGGCCATCAGGCTGCAGCTGTAGCCCATCTGCATTTGTGAAAAAGCGAATGGAAAGGCTGTGAAACCAGCCTGAGCTTCTTCAAAGACACCACTGTCCCCAGGAAGGTCCTCTTGAACCTGGCTGCTTTTGTGCTCTCCCTCCCCGCATCCACTACCAGCCGTCACCAGGTAAGAGCCGAGGGCGCACTGTGTGCCCGTTTGTGACAGATGTTCCCGTAACACCCTCACAGCCACTTCCCTCTATTTGAACTGTAACGCTTGATGCCCATCCCACCCCGCTGACCCCCCCTGCGTGGCCCCTGTGCTGGCAGACGGACACAGCTCCACCGCACGCCCAGAGCTGCCTCTCAGTGACGCTAACCCCCGGCTTGTGCCTCCTCCGCCAAGCCCCCAGATATCTGGATATCCCAACCCTCTTGCGCTTTGCTCCTGCTCTCCAGAGCACTTTCACTAGCCCGCTCCTCCAGCACAGCTTCCCTGGGGGTGCTCAGCCTGTCCCACCAGCAGGGCACACCTGCACACACCCCACCCCAGCAGGGCACGTCTGTCTCACCTGCTCCCCCAGCCCTGGTTACCTGCCCCAAACCCAACGGCCCACCTCTGCTCCAAGCTCCCTTCCCCATCCATTTTCGGCAAAGGCTTGCCAGACCCACCTCCCTCAGACACAGAACGGCCGCAATCGCCGCCTCGCACGGGCTCAGCGTGCACCGGTACCGCCCGGCATCAGCACAGTCCACCAGAGCCCGGCGCTCCCCAAACAGTGCCAGTCTGGAGCAGCGCAAACCCAGCCCCAAGCGCTGTGCTCGGCTCCAGGCTGCAGCGAGGGGCCTCTCCCTGTCAGCACCTCCTCCCTCCGGGCCAGCCCCACGCCGACCTGATTTGCACCCACGCTCTGAGCACGTCCCCATCTGT